TTTGTTAGGACTTAGGAATCGTTAACGTTTGTTCGAAGCACGACTGAGTAGTAGGTTGAGGAGTGATGGTCCTCTTGGTCCTATATACAAGAGTCAACAAGAGCCTAACATTTACTTGACCGTCTGCTGCAATTGACTCATAGCACGTGAAGCGTCAGCGAAATTCATAGTCCTTCACAGATGGCAGGGGTGTCGTTTGTACAGAGGTCGCTGATGGGCACGGGTCAATGCCGCAGTCGTGGGCGGAGCCTAATGTCATATGACGTAGAAAGCCTCTATCCAGGATGGAAAAACAGTTAACATTACGAGTCAATGACAAGTGCCTGAAATATTGAAATGGCGATAAAATATCTAAATTGTAAAAGTTTCGGCCTGTCTTGAAACGGCCATGTCCTGAGCTTGGTTGAAATTCCTTCACGCATTTAAAAGTAATCGCGAAAAATTAGGGTCTCAAGGGGTCTGGCGTTAACAGTAGGTAACCGATTTCAAAGGTTCAGGCAGCTGGTGACAAGTGACCTCCGAGGTCAGCTCGACTTCAAGGTCAGGCCTCAAGGTCTGGGTCGTGTTTTTGTTTGTGTACATATGTGTGTGCGAGAATAACCTCACCAGTCACCACTAAATATGGGAATAAATTTGCTCAAGCATCACCTCAACTACGTTCTTGGTAGGTATAATCACGTCCAGGGACGCGGAAACTACTTTCAGACGGGGGGGGGGCACCATATTATCAAGTATAATATCATCAGCCTTGGGTACCCCCAAATCTAGTTTTCTGAACGGTTTTAGGCCGCTTATTTTTATCCCCTGGCTTTTTCAACAAAAAAGAAAACATTTGCGAAGAAGTGCGATATTCCGTCTCAAAGTTGTGGGGGCACCGCCCCCACGGGCCCAGAGTTGGGGATGGGGGGGGGGGGGGGTGCAAGCTGCCCCACTGCCCCCCCCCCCCCAGTTCCCTTTGATCATGTCCGTCATGCTTTGTCGCACCGAATGATACCTCTCCCCCCCCCCCTCCTCAGCTGGTGAGGGTTGAATCACGTGACCGTCCTGACTTACGGTGACCCACCCTCACAAAAAACGAAATTAGCAATTTCTAAGGACTCGGTAGGTTATTACTTTCCGGCCTTGTTAATGCCTGAAAGTTTAATCTTTCCTGACACATTGGTTGTGACATTTTTTTTTTGCTGACGGTGCAAAAGGTAAGTTATGACGTCATTCATGGGTCAGTGACCTGATCTGACTTTTAACTTTGGTTGGTGTCAAAAGACCGGGCTTTGCTCAAATGTTAGGTATGCTAATTCTTCTGTTTCAACTTCTGTCGCTGATACGTTCAAACTCCAAGCTGCAAGGCTACAGAACTCCCTCCAAGCAGTGCCGGAAACAAACGTAAAAATGTCGGATTTGTGACTTTGTGTCGATCGTCGACGCCATACATGGTCCAACGAAAAAAAAAATTATCGTGGCTCAATCATAAATGTGTTTATGATCGTAAGGGAAGGGAAGTAACAGCACAACCTTACGACAAAATATATGTCCAAGTGCGATGCAGGTGAACGTATCGCCCGATGTTTGTTTGGTCATTTTATCCGTAGCAATTCGTTCAGTAGACTTCATCATTAAATAAAAAATATTTCATCTTTAAAATGACCAAGTTTTCAAATCATTTCTATTTCATGGGACATAAAACAAAAAGAACGCAACCAACTCACCAGAGTCGCTTGATTTTGAATGATTTTACATGTCTCGAGCTAACTGAACTTTGTGATGAGTGTTCCGTAGAAGGCCCGGTTAAGATCGTCCGGAATATTGTTATCACCACCCGCCAGTCGTCCTTGAGGACAGGGCGGTTTTACGGGGTGTCTCCAGGGCTCGTTCACAGCGATCGTCTGCCAGAACTCAACGCGGTCCTCAAACAGCCGTTCTCCAATGGTGAGATTCGAGTCGAGCTTCATATGCCGCTGGCTCTGCTCCGTGAAGATGGGCCAGTCCGGAGCGGCTGACGACTCGGAACTGGGCTTCCCGGTCCTGGCGAAGCTGGTCCACAGGCTGACCATGCTGCGGGTCATGTTGTAGTTCGGTGTTCCCGGCTTCGTCAGAGGTAGCTCCGCCTGGCTGAAGACATACAACAGCTCGTCGCCGTGCCCGGGGTCTGTGTTGAACTCATTCAGTCGAGTGATATTTTCCCAGAACAGGCGATCCGGTCCTTTGTACTCGAACACGTACCGGTAAACCGGTGATCTCCGGGACGCCAGATTACCCTCTGCAGACATTGGAGCGTTGAAGTAGCGATCGCTGATGATCTGGGCAATCGGCAAACGACTTACAGTATTATGGCCTTCCGAGCCCAAATAAAACTTCTTCACTTTGTGCACTTCTGTCATAGGATCTGCCCCACAATCCAGAGGATTGAAATCCAAAGAGGATAGAATGTCAGACACTAGACCCCATGCTATGACGTTACCAGCGGCGAATCCTGCTGACAGCTGTTTGTCGTCTGCGACGATTGGCACAAAGAACCAGCCTTCCTCTTTGGTGACACCCTGCATCCACGGTACATGGTGGAACTGTCCTTTCTCGAGAAGTGCTCGTGGGTCTTCTGGCAACAGTGGTTGGTCGGTATCTCTATCAACACGCGGCTGGTACAGATGCTTGTCTGGTGTTGCCGTCGCCAGCAGCGACTGGGTAGGCAACTTCTTGAGGCAGGCAATCATGGCTTCGGTGTTTGTGCTGTAGCAGCCTAATTTGTGAGCGAGCTCATCTGTAAACCCAACTTTCCTTCCACTGGCGGCGAAGTTGGCGAGCGCCGAGCCTGACTGGGTGATGGCGTGGTGGAACAGACCTTTAGTCAGAGGACTGAGCACTAGAAGTGAAACGCTGGCCGCTCCTGCCGACTGTCCAAAGATTGTCACCGCCTTCGGGTCTCCGCCGAAGCTGGCGATGTTGTCCTGCACCCACTGCAGCAGCAGCACCTGGTCGCGCAGGCCATAGTTGCCCGGTGCGGCGGCGTCGTAGGTCGTCAGGAAGCCGAACACCCCGATCCGGTAGTTGAACGTCACCAGCACGATGTCCTCGTCCATCAGGTACTTGGGGCCGTAGTAGCGGTCGTTGCCACTGCCGCGAATGAAGGCTCCTCCGTGAACGAACACCATGACGGGCAGACGGCCGACGCCGCTCCCCCACGTCCTCACTTTCCTCGAGTAAACGTTCACGAACAGACAGTCCTCATCGCCGACCAATGTTACGTTACCGGTCATGTCGATCTGAGGACAGACACTGCCGTGGTCTTTGACGTCCAACACTCCCCGCCAACCTGGGTGGCGCTGCGGTGGTTGGAAGCGCAGCTCCCCAACCGGAGGCCGCGCGTACGGGATGCCCTTGTAGGCGACATACTCCTTTCCGGATGCGCTCTTGGACGTGTATCCTCGAATGTGGCCTTCCTGGGTACGCACTATCCGAGGACGTCCCAGAGGTGTGTAGCGAAAACCGCTGCATCCCATCACCAACAGCAATGTCGCGTATAACTGTGCCTTTAGCATGATGAGATGAGAAGATTAAGTAGACCTTCCTTTAGTTTTTCGCGTCCCTCCACGCCCTCTTCGGTGTTGTTTTGTGCTGCAGTCGGTCGGTGGATTGGCCGTTTATTGATCTGCGTTCATAAGATAAACATCAAACACAGATGTGCTAACATAAAGCAGCACTCAGCGTCACGTCGTTTCGATTCCAAATGATTTAGTCTGCTGGACTGGCGTTTATAGATACGATTTTCATAAATGATCAGTCTGGACACAGAGTTGTTTATCTATGTCATACACTCCTCAATAACTAACATAGGCTACCTGGGTTATACAGTTGTCTCATAATGCACCTGACGGGTAGCTTCTGTTCATCGTACGATTTAGGCGGACTCTTCATGTGCATTTATCACTCAATTCTTAGCATTGTCCTTACCTCACATGATGAGGATCCTGGAATTTGGTACGAGTTAATGTTCAATATTCTTTTACGTTTCTGCTTTTTCTGACTGTTTGCCCTTTACTATTTTTTGTTTCTAACATAAAGAACAGAGCCTAAAACTGACCGCCGATCTGAATTGGTAAGTTTCTGCTAACTTATGCTGGGATAGCGACGCATTGAAATTTGAGGCGAGAACACAACCAATTTGTTTTATCACAGCCACCCAAATTTAAGCTTATTGTGCCATGAATAGTGAAACAAAACTGAACCGACTCAAGGCCCTATATAGAAGGTATGCTCACTAGGCCAAAGCAGCGATTTCCGTGACGTCACAGGTACGAAGCGTCCGACGGCTGTAATGCAATTCTATGGAAAATGACCCAACTTTAGGGCTCTCCCACATAGCTGCCAGACTGGACACTAAGGTAAAAATCATATCATATTAAAGCTCAAATCAAGACAAACAAGAAACCTATCTGACGTTTTTACGTATTACCAACGGCTTAGACACTATTCAAGTATATTCAGAGCTCTGCATTAACTCACTTTTTTTCTGCCGTCAATGCCACTACAAATGCCTATAGTCGGCGCACGTGCGCTTGTCGAGCGGGGACCACCAGTCGGGCGATTCGGAGCTGCCGCCCAATCAGAACGCCGCAATGCCGTGACGTCATTGGTCGCACACGACACGTTACGGAGATAGGGATGAGACAGCCCTGGAACCGACTGAATCAAAGCATATGGAAAGGAACAGTCTTCTTTCTGTTGTGGCACCTCGTGCAGTTATTATTAGAGCAGTCCCCAAGATGTTGATAAGTCATTCTCAGCGCACGTCAACTTTGTACGACTATCTGGCCTGAACAGATGTAACCTTTGAGATATGCACTAACCAGACGGCAATCTGTGAGAGCTCATTTCTGATGCATTGCAGCTGCCAGTGTTTATGTAGGTATGCAGCAGTAGTTTCCGACAGAATACCTTCGTCAACTAGCAACAGACTCGGGCAGATGTTATGATTCCAACTGGTTTCAGCTGCATTGCAGTTTATCGGGACGCTGCAGCGAGCGAGAGGCAGCGCACGGGGGCAGTCAGGTCGGTGCTGTCTGGCTGAACGGAACGTTGTAACCATGCTGCGGCTGCTGCTGTGGACAACGCTGTTAGCGGCGGGTGTTACCAGCTACTACACTGGTCTTCCGACCAGGACGCGTCTGGTTCGCACCAAGGAAGGTCCTGTCCGCGGTTACCTCGAAAGAAGCGCATCTGGAAAAGCGTTCTTCGCCTTCAGGGGTATCCCGTACGCGCGGCCACCGGTAGGTGAGCTTCGCTTCCAACCACCGCAGCGCCACCTGGGCTGGAAGAGGCCGCTGGATGCCAAAGAACACGGCAGTGTCTGTCCGCAGATCGACACGTTTAGCGAGACGCCGCTGATTGGCAACGAGGACTGTCTCTTCGTGAACGTCTATACTCGGCAGGTGCGCACCCGCATGCAAAGCGTCAGCAGTCAGCCCGTTATGATATTCGTTCACGGCGGTATGTATATTCGCGGCAGCGGCAACGACCGCTACTACGGCCCCAAGTACCTGATGGACGAGGACATCGTGCTGGTGACGTTCAACTACCGGCTCGGAGTGTTCGGCTTCCTGACGACCTACGACGCGGCGGCTCCTGGAAACTACGGACTGCGCGACCAGGTGCTGCTGCTGCAGTGGGTGCAGGACAACATCGCCAGCTTCGGCGGAGACCCGAAAGCGGTGACAATCTTTGGTGAATCGGCGGGCGGAGTGAGTGTTTCACTTCTGGTACTGAGTCCTCTTACTAAAGGTCTGTTCCACCACGCCATCAGCCAGTCGGGATCGGCGCTGGCCAACTTTGGTGCCAGCGGAAGAAAAATGGGCTTCACGGATGAGCTGGCTGAGAAGCTGGGCTGTCCGGTCGCGAACATCACTGAGATGGTCGGTTGTCTGACCCAGGTGCCATCATCTCAGTTTTTAGCAAGTGCAAGTCCCTTTGAACATCTGTATCAGCCTCGTGTAGATGTAGAGGTGGAGCACCCTTTTCTCCCGGAAGATCCACGACTTCTGCTCGAGAGGGGAGAATTTAATCTCGTGCCGTGGATGCAAGGAGTCACAGAAGAAGAGGGCTGGCCATTTGTGCCGATATTTGCCGTTGTTGAGTCAATTTTTCTGGGTGTCATGGAGGGCGACACGTTCTCTTGGGGCTTGATGTCTGATCTTACAACCAGAACGGCATCCAGTATTCTTGAATGTGATGCTGACCCAACTGCAGAGGCAACCAAAGTAAGAGATTTCTACACTGATCTGGTCATTGCTGATCTAAACCCCTTCCTTCTGGTTGCTCGAGTAATAAGTGATCGTTTCTTCAACGCAGCTCTGTGGGCTGAGAGCAGTCTAGCGTCTCGGCACACGGCAGTCTACCAGTACATGTTTGAGTACAAGGGACCGGGCCGACTATTCTTCAGCAATATCAGCACTCTGGAGGTCTCGAACACAGACGCTGGACACGGCGACGAGCTGATGTACCTCTTCAGTCAGACGGAGCTTCCTCTGGAGAAGCCGGGCACACCGAACCACAACATGATCCGCAACATGGTCAGCCTGTGGACCAGCTTCGCCAGGACCGGGAAGCCCACTTCCGAGTCGCCAGCCGCTCCGGACTGGCCCATCTTCACGGAGCAGAGCCAGCGGCACATGAGGCTAGACTCGAATCTCACCATCGGCAAAAAGTTGTTCGAGGATCGGGTCAAGTTCTGGCAGACGATCGCTGTGAACGAGCCCTGGAGGCGTCCGACGGGTGCAGACTGCGAGCGACTGGATATCCGCTTTTCATTTGCTCCTCTCGGAGAGCCAATTGACGACACTCTAGCGTTCTATAACGCCATGCACCAGATGTTTAAGTAGCGAATATGCGATGAACTTAACATGCCGATTGCAATGCCTGTGTCCTTTTGTTTGTCGTGCAGTTTGAGTAAAACCACCGACAAGAGCTATTCGGCTATCAATATGATACAAAATCAATTGTTGTCATGTCCAGTTTCTGCCATACGTGGGTATTTGATTTTATGAGCTAGCATGTCCATAATGCTCAGTACTCCCGACTTTGAACACGTGTATTGGGCCCAGTCTTCGAGGCATGTAAATAAAAACAAAACAAGCAAAAAACAAAACAATGCTGCACTCCATAGCGTTTCGGAATCATGAAACTGGAAAGTTTGTTGATTTGAGCCTGTGAGCAATTGAGCATGCAGCGGGTTCAAATTGACAAAAGCGTAGCATGATCATTGATATATGGTACCAAGATTAACCGTAACCGGTATGGGCTGAAATGAAGGAACATACGAACGAGCGCTTGCGTCTGTCAAATGTGTGTGCCTTACCTTTTTCACATGCCTACAATTGAAATCTTTTCTTTGACACTTTGCGCTGCATGGTGCATACCTGTATATAAATGGTCTAGGAATGGGAATGTTAAAGGGATATGAACTTAGCTGTTTTTTTGTTTTGCTTACGTCAATTTTAATGTCCCGCACCTCTTCCCCTCTCCCCCCCCAAAAAAAAAAATTGATGAGCTTTTTAGCCAGCACATATATTAGTAACCAACGGGTCGAAATAAAATTCACTTGCCACACTTATAACCCAAAGCCTATGCATCAGATAACATGCACGTAACCTGGTACAAGCTGAAAGTGGATTGTTCAATATTTATGACAAGAGATAGATGGTAAAGAAATAATTCAACGCAGTAACAGCTGTTAAAGTTACGGAAGTTCTGGTTTGTATTTTGATTACAAGTGACATTGTCACATTGTTGCTCAGAAATGACTTAGGAGACCCTTCAATCATCAGCATATGTAGGACGTAGGTAGCACCACTTTTCCGCTGCTCCGACATTCACTGCGTCGCCTCTACTTTCCCGGGCCGGCGGGGTTGCCCGGGTTTCCGGGGCTGCCGGGGTTGGGCGGGTTCGGAATCTGAAAGGTGGCGGCGAACGGCAGTTTAGGCGGCACGAACGACCCCGGCGCGCCAAAGTTGCCCGGCCGACCGAAGTTTCCCGGCGGTGTGTGCGGTGTGAACGTTCCCGGGAAATGGCCTGGCCTGCCGGGTCTGCCGGGAAGACCCGGTTTTCCAGGGTTCCCCGGCTTTCCTGGGATTCCGGGCCGGCCGACCTGACCCGCCTGAACGGGTCGGAAGAACTGGGGGCTGCGGGCGGTGCGGGAGCTTCTGGCGATGACTTCCTCTCCGGCGTCGGAAGTGTCTGCGGGCACATGTCACAGGTCACCGGGGCTGGGAAATTGTAGAATCAGAATCCGTGCGCTGGAACTGAGTTAAGCATTTAGAAGATGAGGGTCAAAATGCAGCTAATTTATCTATCCATTCATTCGTTCATTTATTCATTCATTTGCTCATTTACATATATAATCATTCGTTTATTCACTCATTCAGTCTCCATTCATTTTGTCATTTATTTATCGATCCATTTTTTCATTACTTCATTTACTCGTTTATTCATTCATTCATTCATTCATTCATTCGAATTTTTCGATGCATCTGTTTTACGTTGTGATGATTTATAACACATTCACATACGGTAAAGCAAAGATCATGAATTGATATGACTTGCTCTTTGTTTTATTAATATGTACAGTCCATCCAGCAGTAGAAATGCTATTTCATCTGCAAATCTAACACAGCCTGGTTTTCACTTTTCATTGTGTTGTTCAGAAGTCAGTAGATTTGAGTTTCGTTCAAACTTGCCAGTGCTGCATTGCACAGCAAGTCCCCCGGCAACCGTCATTCTCTATATATATCAGATATTTATAAACGGTGCATTGGCGGCTGGCTGGATAGTGACTGTCTGGCCAGTGGCCTCGACTTACATATCTTGTGGTCTCACTTTATAAATATTGACGCCAATTCTTACAGTTTGGACTGTGCTGCTTATTTAGGACGGTTAGAGTGGATAATTGAAGGGTGTGTTGATAGATCATGTACCATATATGCCAACGACAACATGACATCAAAATGTTTATACTTTTTGCGTACCTATTGCTGATGATAACTTCATATTACATCAGCGTTTTTTTCTTCTCGAATTCCGTTGTTGTGAAGTAATGTAATGACTATTTCATTGTTTTACTCTAATCTCAATCTCTAAACCACCAATTTATCAGTATTTTAACTGTCACGGTGAACGGTTCCGATCGAGATGGGTGTTCGTAAGCCTGGTGGATGATTTGTGGACTCCGACCGTTTACACCAAATGGCAGATGTCATAAATGAAATCTGGCTTTATAACATGACGCAGATGGACGTAAAAACCAAATACATACCTATAGGTGGCGTGGCGACAACGAAAGCCAGCATCATGAGCTGTAGCACAAAAATTACAGTCGCATTGGGCCTCATATTGCCTGTAAAAGAGGAGTTGAAAATCATATGTATCATCTCGGTTCGCTCACACATTGCATGTTTCAGTCTTGTCCAGGGTCCGTTGTCTAGTCTGGTTACCGTAACGTAGCCGAAATATGAAATCATGAAAGGACTTTCAACTTAGCCGGAATATGAAATAATGAAAGGCCTTTCGACCTTAAAAATAATTCATTCAATTTTAGCACAGGAATCACCCATGTCAAATCGTTGGCATGGAACGCCGATTTCTTTTGGCTGTTTGACCAGAAATTTAAAGCAATTTTTCCTTTTTTGAAATTTATTTCCGGTTGTTTAGTTGTTCGGATGACAAAATATGAAGTGACACAAATGCTTAGATGCGTTAGTACTTTCAGACAAACCACTATCCCTATCGCCTTTTGTCCTTTGCCCACCTCAGTGTCGTCTCGGATTTCCTCGGTGTTGTCTCTGAGGCTGCCTCACGAGCCGTTGTCTCCTCCGTCGCCGCTCGTCACCCACTCGCCGATCCAAGCTCCACTCACTACCAGCCAGTCCTGTGGCACTACCCATTTAACCACCTGGACCCAATGAGGCCACCCTCGCTATTGGAGGTGTACTACCTGAACCTGGGTGCCCCTGATCTGGAAAATACTAAGGGGACTTACCTGCTTCGCCTCCCGTAGCTCGGAAATACTGGACAAATGTTGAAACGTCGGTATTTATCGGCTGCTGCGCAGCGTTGGTTATTGAAGTAGATGCATTTTTTTAGTTCGAAGCACGGACTGGACGGAGTAGTGAGTAATCGCTTGAAAAGTTGCATTAACGAAATGAGTCTCGGATGAGGCCGTATTATGGAGTCAGTGCATTAGGTAGTCACCTATCCAGTTGCTGCCTACCGTGACATGTTTCCGCGATATTGGTAAGCCTCAGGACACCAATACTGGTGTAGCTTTGTTCATATCTGAGGCCTGTTTCACTAACAAATAAAACTTGTAATTACAAAGAAAAAGCTTGAGTTTAAAGGGACCCTCCCACCTTAACATTAGTTTTGAGTTGAGATAGCCAAGTTTGCGGCCAGGCTCAGAAACCACCATTTATCCTGGTCGCAACCCCCGCAGCTTTATGGTGTTCAAGAAATTTCTTCCCTTTACTTGCAGGGTGGGACCAGCGTGGTCCCTATCTCTTAACCATTACGGGAATCTGATGACGTCATCAGGCTTTCGAACGTCCGTTAAATGTTTGACTAAAACGTTTTGTAGCACGCGGTGGTATATGCTGCTTTGCGCGCAACAAATGCCGCACTTTCAAATAAAGTCGCTAGGAACAGCGGAGATCCCAAAAAGTAAACAAAAGTAAAAGTCTAATATCTTGAAAACCGGTGAATATTTTTCGATGAAATTTGGTAGATATTCGTTTTTGCTCTTTCTGAACCGAGCGACATCACTTTCATGCCAATTCATTAACTTTTTTGAAGGTGGGAGGGTCCCTTTAAAAGAAATAATTACCAACATTTGAGATTTGGATTTCACAAAACCTTTGAACATGAATTTTGAGTTTAAAATTTGCAAACTTTTTTACAAGAAAAAGTTTGCTAGAAAACATGGGAATCGCAAACTTTCTGTTTCACGAAGACCAGAAACTTGAAAGAAAACATCGTAATTACAAACCTGAAATTCCAGTGGTCCTGACGTTCGGAATTTTGATACTTTTTGTGCAATAATGCAAAACAGTCATATATTTAGGACAACTATGCTTTGCTGATTCGTTTCATGCTCTTTTTTTACTTAGCACACACCCTAAGAAGCAAAATAATCGGTATTAAAATATCGTCATGTTTTGTCACTCGCGCGCCATAATTGCATTTAACAGTCTTCTGCTGTCAAATGTTTTGCGTGTTATTTTCTTTCAATAATAGGATAATGTGAACTATCAATTATATCTTTTTCCAACAGCATCATTATTTATAATTTAATTTGGCAGCTTTCGACATGAATACTAGACAAAACTTGATAAAAAGAAGCAATATCTTTAACATGCTATAGTTCTTGATTAAAAACAATTTTACTGTTTACAAGTTTATTTGCAAACATTTTCTTATCGGAGGTGCCACTGGCGATGAAGCTTAGTGAAATCGGTTTTTACGTAGTTGGTAAAAATACTTATGAATTGTAAACTACAAACACTTGTAATTACAAGTTTTTAGTGAAACAGGCCTCTGACGAGGGAACGCCGAGAAAACCGGCCGCGTCAGCTGCCATTGCGTGCTGGAGAGCTGTCTGCAATCGGTGTTTATTTGTGATTAGCAGGGTATTTAGGTACTTATCTTGTATTGATTAAGTTCGTTACTTAGTGTGTTGTAGGGCTGCAGTTCTTTCCCGATGATAAGAACGTAGCTCGATGAATAAGAACAGATTGACAAGATTGGGTCACGAGGGTGGAAAATGAAACATATGGTAGATAGGTACTAGATAGATTCCAAATATTTACCCGATGGACACCTAAATGACGCAAAAGGGTTTTCCATGCACCTTAGCTTCTCTAAACAATCGTTTGATATACATATGTAGGAGCAGCAGCAGAGACATTCCTGTCTCAGTCTGGTGGGCGGACGTGCCGACTTGAGTTGCAAAGTTTCCCTACCGCATTACCGGCATGCCGGTAGTTTTTCACTACCGCAGGTTTTTTTGTGGTATCTGGCATGTCTTGCCGGTAGCATGCCGGTATTTTTGGTTTTGCACAAAAAAAATTATTAGCATATGATTCAAACTTTGGACACTAAGAGGAAAATGTGGCATCTCTTGTAGGGGTAAACTGGAATCAACAATGCAGATTTTTTAGTATGCCGGTAATTAGGTGGTGTTTTTGCTTTGGGCGTGGTAGCGTGCCGGTATCCCCAAAAAAATTTGTGGAGCGGGGCGGTGCCGGTAGCAGCCTTTGGGGGAAACTTTGCAACTCTAGTGCCGACAAAGGTCACCTCGTATCACGCTCGGCCAAAGACATGCTGCTGTTGCTCGCCTTCTCTGTTCACTGCGTGCCACTGCTATCGGGGGCCTCCGCCGCCGACCCCGCCCCCGACCGGCTGGCTTCTCATCTGGTGAGCGGCCTGGCGCAGGTCTGCCTGTCAGAGGCACGCAGCTCACTCTGTGGTCCGGTGGAGCGCCTGGAGACGCAGCTGGAGGAACTGCTGGAGAAGCTGCAACCGCCACCGCCGTCCTGTCCACCCGGCTGGAGGCAGCAAGGAAGCAGCTGTTTCTTCATCCCACCTCAGACGGCCACCTGGCTTCAGGCGCACCACTACTGCGCCCTGCTGGACGGGCGTGCGCGGCTGGGATCCGTCCACCCGGCCACCCATGGACTCGTGAGAGAGCTGGTGGCTGCCAGCGACTCGGATCCAGCTGCCAGGGCGGCGCTGGGGGTGGGTGGACGGATCGCCTCTAGACTACACGGAATGGAGACGGGGTGAGCCCACATTCCGAGGAGAGCACTGTGCTCATATTTACGGACCGAGGAATAGTCTGGAGGGCTGGAATGATACAGAGTGTGACAGAGATCGGCACTTTCTCTGTGAGATTCGACTGGACCGACTGTGATGTGTGCACTGTGCAGGGTGGGCGGTCTGTGAAGTGCCCTGTGATTGTGGGACTGTGTCATTTGTGTGTGAAAAATGGTGCTGCTGGAAAGTTTTCGCTTGCAATAAATGTATGTAAACGATTATGAATGCTCTTTACGCTGCAAAGTTTTATCACGAACGCAGCTAAAACTCACCTTTTAGCAAGTGCCAGTGATGCAGATTATTTTACCCCTCACCCGTAATGACGTTTAATGTTTATACAACCGCTAACATATAGGGGGAATGTCGATAGGATCACCCCAGCCGTTTGACCCCTGATAAAGCTAGAGCTTCGCGGGAAAAACTAGCGCATTTCCTGCAATGAGAGAAGCCGGTCGTATCTAATTTTGAAGCGTCTAGGCGTGCTCTGCTAGACACGGGAGCGGCTGGCTCGTATGTCAAGTTGATGATCCAGCGCCTCTGGCGGAAATTACTCAAAACAATGGATGTAGACTGTAGATGACGCCACCACAACTTCGCTTAACAGTGGGAAGTCCACGTCTAATGCAATAGTCACTAGCAAACTCATCATAAAAATCAGGATATAATTAATTAATTAGTATGAAAATGAGAAGCTTTGCCTACCAAACAAGTCGTCATGGGTTAATATGTTGAAAATTCTGTGATCTGCTTGCGAGTAGATAGGCTGTTAGAATAATTATCGGTAGATATCTCAGCATCTCCGCATGCCTGCATTTGGTCATTGTCAGAGTATGTCATTGTTGCTTCTTCTATCCCTGTCAGGCGTAACCTCCATAACAAATACTGTAAAAGTATCCGGACAGCAGCAAGAGTTTTTCATCTATCGAGACGCTGTCTAGCCAATTTTTATACCCACTCCTGCCACGAAGTGCGGCTTATCCCCTGGCGCATTCTCCATGGGATTTGTTTTGTCTCGTTTATTCAAGCATGGATCCGGGCTGGTCCAAGTGACGTATGCACGTAACTGGGAGGCATATATGGCGATATAATTGCCGGGTAATAATATAAATGCGATTATTTCACTTAACGAGACATCCTTGGCCGCGATCTCGTCTGCAATCAGACACGCTAAAAGCCAGCCGTGGGGTGCATCAAACAATCCCTCACGAAATCGGATAAATCACGATCCACTAGACGAAGCTGCTGTTTGTCTTCAAGGGTTCATTGATGTTAAACCGAACAGTGCAGTGGAGAAACATGTTAAAGCTGGGACATTTGTAACCCTTAGGTGAGTAAGAATTGCTTTGCTTATATCTAATAAACGACAGAAACTGCACTTCTATTAGAATGACTTTGTCAATACAATATGGTGTTGCGTCTTCTGATTTTTTTTTTTTTTTTTTTGGTAAAGACCCTGTGGGTTAACCCGCGCCCTGATGGTGTCTGCCGAGCAATGCGTCCTAATAGGGGTGGGGGCGGGGGGACATTTTGCCTCCCCCCGCCTAAAATCTCGAGAACCACACAACATAGAGACAAGCAACAAACGGTGTTGGATAGCCCCGATGGGGGCTATCCAATTTCCTTGTGACCTTGTGACCCAATTTCATTAACCTCGGTCTAACCGATGACGTCACGGGTCAGGTCAAATGTCGAATTTTCACCGTTTACAGGCATTTCAAGAAGTGTGTTGTAAATCAAGTAAAAAGGCATATTATTGAAAAGCATCGACATGGAATTGTCTGTTAAACACATATTTTGCTATTTGAGGTCACTAATACCAGGTCAGGCCACAGAGGTCAGGTCACTGTGGGTCACAACACGGAAGTGTGTGATGCATGTTGCATGGTCCATTTTACATGACAAATGCGATAATATGGGTCAGGCAACCTTTAGGGCCAGGTTATGTTCTGGTGAAGGTCAATTCAAGGTCAGTTCAAATTAGGTCAAATTTCAAACTTGATGTTTTTGCATAAAATGGGTTCGATGCGGCTCGTCACGGGGAGTCTAATATTGGCCTTTGTTTTGCC